GGAGAATGGGGGACCCCATGTTGAGGGTGGGAGGTGGGTGGCTATTCATTTGAGTAGGGATTAAACTTCATGATTAATGTGCTGTAGTGCTAGACATTGAAGGGACTGGTTTAGACCTGAGCCTCCAACCCAGCTAAGTGACCTCCATGAGCCTCCAAAGCTTAATCTATAAGGTAGAACAACTGCTATTCCCAGGTGGTTGTGAGAATTAACCTATACTGACATTTGATGGATGATCAACAAATATTTACAGAATGAATGTTTAATGATTAGATTCAAGCATGAAAAGAGTTATAGGCTGAGTGTCCCACATCAAAATGCTTGGGCCCAGAAGTGGTTGTAGAGTTTGGAGTTTTGGGTTTTTTGTTTGTTTGTTTTTTGACTTTGGAATGTTTGCATAAACTTTACTGATTGATGCTCCTTGTCTGAAAATCTGAGATACTTCAATGCATTTGTCAATTTTCAAAAGTTTTAGATTTTGGAGTATTTGAGTTTTTTAGATTTTTAGATTAGGGATGCTCAACATGTATTTAGAAAATATCCTATGATACAGTAGTGTGCTGGTAAATATGAACAATGGTAGACTCTTCTTTTTATCACTATCCTTAAAAATCCTAATTTGTAGCACTTGCCTATTTCTGTGGTGTAAATACTCCCACCATGTTTGATTTCAAGCTACCACAATGACATCCCTGAATGAGGGCTTGGGCAGAGGTGAATTCAAGTGTCTTTTGTGAGCCAAAAGGAGCCAGATCTAGCATATGTATTGCCTTTTATTATTATTATCTATCTATCTGAGAAAATTAGGTCTATACGGCAGTTGATGACATATCTTAAATTACTTTCTCTGAGCTACTTACCTTGAGAAAGACATTGACAAACTATTATTTCAGAAATGGAAAATACCCATTTCAAGGACCAAGTCAGCCATCCACTCAATTTTATCTTATCTAGAAAGGGAAATTACGCTTATCGTTGCAAAGATACAACCCAGTTTAAAAGCTTTGGCAGCAGTATTCTGAAACCATATATTACTCTGAGAAGCTACTCCTGTTTCTCTCTAAAATGCAGCATGCCTTGTATTTTACAGAAAAGGACAAAGTTGCTTATTACTGAAAAGGAGAAAAAAGAAGACTTAATGGATAACTTAAAGAAAGTCCATCTTTTCAAATTTTGATGAAAATTATAACCCTAAATACACAAAGCTTTCAGAAATATAATATGTTCGAATTTAAAGAGCTATACGCTCTTGGTAAAGAATCAACAGTACATAATTTTGTTCTTTCAGGTAATCTCTTGGAATATCTAAGTTGTTGTTACTTATTTTTTCTCCCTTTTCTTTCTCTTCCCTTCAGTGCTGCTCCTTAAGTGACGTTTTATATAATATTGAAATGTTTTATTGTGTTAAATTTATAAAATAAAGTCTGATGTCTTGTCTTTTGATTTTAAAATTTTCCCTCATGGATTAGCTAAGTTTTAAAATAAATAATAATTCCCCAAAGCTGCTGAATTGAGTAAAAATGTCTCTTCTTTCCTTTGAAATGCCTCACAACATTCAAAAACAGTGAAAGTGGCAAAGTGGAATGATGGTAAGTTTTACTCAGAAATACAATCGTGGACAAAAATCAAGCCTACAGATAACCCCACTCTTTGGAATGGTGCAGAAGGCAATCTCTGGATTAATTTATTTAAAGTTCCTTCCATGTCCTTCTGAAGCTATTGCCTTTGTTCCTCTTAGAGTTTTGTTTATTAATTTGTCAAAAGCTACTCTGTACCAAGCATCAGCATGGAAAGGAAAAGATGCTGTGGGTGGGGTGGGGGGTGAGGGGGTGTAACAGGCCAAGCAGGAGAAATCTTATGGTCCATTCCTGGTTGCCTTCAAATTCTGGTTATTTATTTAAGTTATTTATGTAGATACTGGGGATTGAAACCAGGGCTTTGTGCATGCTAAGCAAACATTCTACCTCTGGGATGGGGGTGCAGCCCAAGAAATCTGAGTATTTAAAATGAAAAACAAAGAGCTCTCATAATCTCTTGTGTGAATTTAAAATCTAGCGTTTGTGACAAATCATTTTCTTAACTTTAGTGTAATATTTTTCCTCTATAATCATCTTCACTAAACTGGAAAGGGGTCTGAAATGCCATCACGTAATTCCCAAACTGAATTTTATTTTACTCATTTTGGCATTTTTTTTCTCCAACATATTTTTAAATCATGCATTCCTTCATGGTTTGAGGTTCATGTTCATTTTTTCTCTTTTCTTGTCTCTACAGAGATCCTGTGGTAGACTGAAGATATCACAAATCCTGGCTCTTAAGTTGACTTATTTCTTAACCCAGGGGAAGTTATTTAATTTTGCTTAGGCTCAGTTTTCTGTTCTGTAAATTGAGAATGATAATATCCTTCACGTGGATGTCCACATTAAGTAAAATAATGACTACAAATCACCTAATGCAGTTCTTGGTAGATAGTAAGTTCTCAGAACAACAGGTGATAACAATGAAAATTATCATCTATTGTTATTTTCAAAATAACAATGCTCTTAATGCCTAAGAGATGGATATCAGAAGAAAATATTAAGAAATTAAAATAATTCATATAATTGGTAGTCAATACATAAAATATGAAGTGGACATTAATTCTGCCAACAAAACAGAAAGCAATTTGAAAAGGAGAACTGTTGAAACCAGTCATCTGGTGACCTCTTCTGCCCAAACCATTTTCGCTATCCCGGGAAGAACTTGTCTCAAGTTTAGTCATTTAAATACAATCTCTCAGGGAGTCCCTGTTTGTTTAGTGTCCCTGCTGGTGACCAACCAGAACTGACCACCAGGAGCAGCCCTACTTCAGATCCATTTCAAGTGTCATATTATCACCTGGTTCTATTGATTCTACCTTCTTGTGATTTCCAAAGTCTACCCTTCCCATGCCTCTACCGAGTTACTGCTACAGACCCACGAATAAACTAGCTGCCACCATGGCTGCAACTAAGACTCTTTTGCAAATTAATACTGAGCCATTTATCTCCCAGTACCTCACTGAACTCAATTTTTATATTTTACAATATAATTGATTGCTTAGGTATGAAATTTCTAAAGATGAATAACCAGGGTTTATGTCCTGCCCTGTCAAATACCTGATGTGTGAAATGAACAAGTTTCTTAATTTCTTGAAGTTTCAGTTTTCTAATCTTTAAAATGAGAGAGATAATATCTCATTCCTTCACAGGGCTTTCACAGTAACAGAGCCCTTAGAAGAATGCCTTGAATCCAAGAAGCAGCCATTAAGCTTTAGTACTGCTGTTCTTCACCATACAAATGTTCAAAAACACCTGGGACTCTTACAGTTACCACCCACCTGTCACCTGTCAGTGTCAACACTTATAAATTAATCCCAGAGCAAAATGAACTGTAATCTTAAACTATCTGCTTTGACTGAAATACAATATATAAAGAATTGTGGTATTCCTGTGAATTCAAAGCATTCTAGAGCAGTGGTTTACCTTAGGAAGCATTTTTTAAATGCAGGAATCTTGGGTTACGCATTCTGAGAATCCACAAGTTAAAAAAAAAATTGCACAAGACATTAGAGGAGAAATCAAAGAGACTAAAAGATCTAAGTGAAATGAATTAAAGAACAGATGGAGAACTTTGGAAAAGAAAACCTACATTTGAAAACTGGAAAGAAGAGAACTAAGTTTTAGAATAAATCCACAGGTCTCAAAGTCTACATGCCAGGCACGGAACATGAGCAAAGCCTTCTGGAAGAAAACCAGAACATTCTCAGGGCCCAGCCATCCAGCTCTCACCTATGCCATATGAGATTAAGGGTACAGGGTGGCTCCACCCCCCACCTCCAAACCCAGAAATGGATTTTTGATTTTAATTATTCAAATACATTACAAATATTTAGTATAGTAAAACTTAAAAATTTTTAAAACTCTGTATACACTAAAAAAAATGTGTGAAAAGACAAGATAAATAATAATAATAAAACAAGTATCTCTTATAATGCAGCATTATTATAAACTTTGGGCCTTTGCTATAGATTAAGAAACAGAACTAGCATTTATTGACCTCCTACTATGTGCCTTAAATGGATGTACCTTACATTTTTAAAAAAAATCTTATCGGAGTCTGGTTAATCTTATCCACACTGGTTCCACCATCATCACAATTTGTTAGGGAGAAATGTTATTTTCATTTTCCAGTTAAGGGATCTGACCCCAAGGATGATAAGGAAACTTGCTCTTGGCCTCACAGCTAGGACATGGGAAGGGAAGATGGAATTCATATTGATATCTACCTACCTACTCCATTACTCTGATGGTCACGAGAATGTGACTTGCAAATCCTCAACTAAAGGGTTAGCAATTCCTCAAGGGGCCGCTGCTCTGCACTGAATGTCATCAGAATCTGGGCTGTGACCACACCTCCTACAGCTGCTCCCAGTCAATGACTGGGTGCTACGCATCACGGTGGGACAGGAGGCTGGGCTCAAGGACTGCCAGGGGCCCCTCTCAACCCTTCCGAGACGGTGTGGTGGTCTGGATGCTTCCACTCGCTTTCTTTTCTTCTTTCCTGTCTGGGGTCACACCTGAGTTACATTCTGGGGCATGTCTTTCCAGTTCTTGCCCATTTTCTTTCCCAGGTGTTTCCGATAATAACCCCCTCGAACCTTTATCCATCTGAATGTCTGTTTCTTTCCTGATTAAATTGCCCAAAATGTACTGAGATTGCCTGGGAAAAAACCCAAAAAACAAATATCCAACCTTGTCCATCAGAAAGTCCTGAATCGACACACTAGTCTGCCAAGGAAGATGCATCCATCCAAAGATTCTTTGAAAATTGGCATTTGTCTGTAATCTCTCATATAAATAAACCCAAATACCCCGGGAATATGTTAGAGCAGTGTGATGTGACAAGGCCACCATCACCACAAACTACATCCAGAGCAGGTAACAGTCCAGCCCAGGCCTGGCCCACTGTGCAGGACTCACCCGGTCTCGTTGCTGGATTCGTTGGTAAACATACTCAGCGAAAGGTTTGCGTGGAATGAACTTCCCTTCTCCTGCTGTGACATTGAAAACTCCAGCTTCATACACCACTTTGCCCCTTGAAATGGTCACCAGGGGGACCCCGTGGCAAACCATGCCCTCGAAGATGTTGAAGTCAACAGCCTGGTGATGAGTCTTAGCTGAGATTGTTCTGTGTTTGTTAAAGAAACAAAAACAATACTACAGATCATCACCAGCTCATTTGATGAATATAAAATATGTAAGAAGAATGATCTAGGAGAAAATTTAGCCACTCTATTAAGCCATAGCTTCATCACTGTTAACAAGTGACTTTAAGAATAGAACATAGCATTAACATTTCATTTCAAAGTAATTACATTTTCTGAGAGAAAAACCTAAGAGATTGCTCTTTAAGTTGAACCATGAGAATGGGGTGGGTGGGAAAAGAACGTTGTCTTTCATGTAGAGATTTAGAAATTATTTTTCATATGTTAAAGAATCTCAATCTCTCTCTCTCCGCCCCCACCCCCCCACCCCGGATTGAACCCAGTGGTGCTTTTACTGTGAGCCATATCCCCAGCCCTTTAAAAACTATAAATTTTATTTAGACACAGGGTCTCACTGAGTTGCTGAAGCTGGTTTTAAATCTGCGGTCCTCCTGCCCTAGCCCCCTGAGTTGCTGGGATTACAGGCATGCCTGGCTTCATTTTTTAATTCTAAGACATTAGAACACACTGACCTGATCAGTACCTTGCTATCTGCAGATGCAGTTGAGGTTCCTCCACCCCCTCCATAAGTCCCATTCATATCCCTCTCTTCCCAGAGGAAAAAAACATACCCTGATTTTCCCCTTGTCTGTGGCAAAATTGGAAATTTGAGGATGACAGGGTCAACCACGTTTTAGAATATAATCCAGCATATTCTGTGTCGTGTGTATATTCATCTTCGTTCTCAGTATCTTATTTTATTTTTTTATATTGGCAGATAAAATTATCTTATTTACTGTAGACAAAATGATATTTTGAAGTATGTCAACATTGTGGAATTACTTAGTCTGGCTAATTAACAAATGAGTTAACCTCACGTAGTTATCATTGTTGTGGTAAGAATGCTTTATGTCCATTATCTTGCCTTTTCCAACTATACGTTATAGTCACCACGTTGTAAAATAGAGCACTGGAATTTATTCTTCCTGTCTGAAATTTTATACCTCCCCAACTTCTCTGGCCCCTAATAACCACCATTCTACTCTCTATTTCTATGAGGTCAACTTATTTATTCCATATGTAAGGTCATGTACGATTTGTCTTTCTGTGCCTGGCTTATTTCACTTCACGTATTATCTTCCAGGTTCCTAGAAATAATAGGAATGCTTTTTACTGAATAGTATTCCACTGTGCACATGGGAGTGCAGATGTCTCTTGGATATGCTGATTTCATTTCCTTTGGGTATAGATCATGGTGAGATTGCTTTATCTCAGTAGCTTATGAACAGTTTTCAATCTTAAAAGTATGACTGATGACTTCCAAACTGGGAAATGCTGGATACCTCCTTTCTTTAAATATCATGACATGGAAAAGGGGGGAAAATCTGGCAACAGTGAATTGTATGAGCATCATCTGAATTCTGGTGGAATTTCTACAATCCCTCCTGAGAATAGATTAAAGAGAATTACTCTGTTAAAATCCTCAAGGCTGAGCCTGAGGCAGAGCAGCCCTCAGTGCTCCCAACCCTGACCAGGGAGGGCTGAGAACCCCTTGCTGACATGTGCTGCACACCTTGAAATGGACAGGACTCCACTGGCCTGGTCCAACTGCATGCTTGGTTTCCCAACCTTAATGTGCAGTGCCCTCCACAACCCACTCACGCGACTGTGCTCCTCCCTTGAGTCTCTCACTCAGTCAGTGACACTGCCATCTATCTTTTCTTGCCCCTCAAGCCATCATCAAGCTTGTTGTTCCTACATCTCCCCAAATAATCCACTGTGCCTGCATAATGCCATGTCACCACAGCCTCTCTTTGGGTCTCCCTGGCCACTTTCCTGGCCTCCTAGTCTCCTCTCTTACCCTCTACCTTCTCTACAAAGCTGCTCCAACCATCTTTTCAAAATGAAAGTCAGATCATGTCACATTCCTGCTTGAAACACTCAATGGCTCCAATTTGTCCCCTGAGAGCCAAATAACTATTTTAGAAAGTGTGGATGAAAATAATACAAAGAATCTGCTCCCAGTGAGAAATATCTACCACAGAAAGGAAAAAGAGGCGCTTCTAGTATGTCAAGGAGAGAACTCATAACATCTTATTTTGTCCTTATAACACCTCTTCAAGTACAGAGTAGCTTCTACATTTTGTGGGTCTATAAGCTGAGATTTAGAGGTTAGATAATATCCAAGGACATTTGGCTAGTTTGGTGAAATTGGGATTTTTCACCAATAAATTTTTTAATTTGTAATAAAATAACTTTTTGGTGTATGGTTCTGTGAATGTCGACATATACCCAATAGACTTGTGTTAAATCACGTTAGAACACATAACACTTTCATCAACACCCCCCACCACCACACACACACTCGTACACACACATTCCCACCATCCCTCTAGAGCACATCATTCCCAACCTTTAGCTCCCTGCAACCAGTGATGTGTTCTCCATCACTGCATATAAATAAAATCACAGAGTATGCAACCTTTTGAGATGACTTCTTTCATTCCACATAATTCCTTTGAGACTCATCCATACTGCTGAGTGTTTCAACAGTGTTTTCTTTGGTTGTTGAGTAGTATGCTTTGTATGGACACACAGCTCTGTGTTATCATTCACCCACCAAAGGACTTGGATTGTTTCCAGATTTTAACTGGAAATATGAATAGAGCTGTTGTAAACACCCAGGTAGGTACTTTCTAGAAAGACTTGTCTGGTGTAAATACCCAAGAGTGAATTTTCAAGGTCATATGTTAAGCACTGGCTGCATCAAAGAGCTTCTGACTTTTGGAACTAACCTACCCATATAATGAAGAGTTTAAAAGACCCCTGAGCAGTAGGAAGGCAGACAGCACAAATACATCAAAGCTTTGAATACTGAGCAGGAGGGAAGGGTATTATCATTCAAATATAAGTCACCAAAGTAGGGCAATGAAATTGTTTAGAGATGCTTAGAATGAGTTATGATGAATTGTGAGTTGGTGATAAAAGATGAAAAGATGCAAACTCAAATGCATCAATAAATTGAGGAAACAATAGAGAGGGGATTCAGACCTTCAGTTTATTAAAGTGACTTTTTATGGCCACCACTATCTCTCTGCCCTCCTACACTTCATAGTTACAGCAGCAGGAACTCTGGGGCTTGCACCGGAGAATGATACATAGAAATGTGTAGACTAATGCGTTAGTAAGGCTGCTATATGAAGAAAGTAAAATGAATTAAAAATTCATGGTGAAATGATTATTTGAAGTATAACAACAGGGTGGAAAACCTTAAGTTTGGAGTTTCTGAAACTAAGAAAAATAATGTAACAAGAAAAAAATTGGATACACAAAGATGGCCATTACAATATTGCCTAAACTATTGGAAGACTGAAGAATAACAAATTTCCAGTGACTACTATAAATAAAATATTAGGCATTTGTGAAAGACTAGTTTTAAGAATGTTTTTATAGAAGCAAAAATGCCCAATAACCTCCTAATAGCATATAGTAAAAACAGGCCACAGAGAACATGCATACCACAAGTATAAGGAAAATACTCCCGTGGACAGACCCAAAAGGAAATACATAAAGTCTTTTGTGGACTGGGAAAAATGAAGATGGAGGAATCAAAGTCTCTTTAGAGCTTTTGTTCTACTGTTTCTATGACTTAAGTTACCATGTTAGGATGAAGTTGGTGCAGCAAAATATCCAATTAGATTTCTCTGCCTCACGCCAAATAAAGGTCATTACTTTGACTAACTCAGCCTTGGGGTTAGCAAGAGGAAGAGAACAATTAGACAACATCTTAGAGGTTCTTTATACTGAGGCACTATGTAAATGAAGTCAAATTAACACCACATGTAAATTCTAGGCATTATCACCAGCAGCAAAAAGAATGTGCCTCCACTTTCACAGTGGAAGGTGTCTGACAGGGTGTCATTTGTCACCCAACTTTTCCTTCCAGCCAAAGCTGTATTTCTCCTGTTCTGAGGCACCGTCACACTGCTGAGTCTTTGCACGTGCAGTTCTTTACCCTGGATGCCCTCCTCACTTTTGCTCCTCTCCCTTCCCTAAAACTCTGCTCCAGAACCTATGTCCTCATCACATAGCAGTGAAGGTGTACACACTGTGTAATGACCCCGACTTAGTCATTACACAGTGTGTACACACATCAATACATCACAGTGTACCCTGTGAATATGTGTAATTATTATGAGTGAATAATTTTTAAAAAATCCTGGTTCCCAGAAGCCAACCTGATGAACCACGGTGAAACTGAACATTTCTTCCTTTGCAGTTTAGCATTATCCAAGCGGTTTTATTGTTTTTTGGGGAATTTTGTTATTTGGTTGGTTTTGGGGTTTTGGTGCTAGGAACGGAACTCAGGACTTCACACACACCATACAAATGCTCTATCACGGGCTCCACCCCTGCCCCAGTCCTAGTGTATTATAATGATGTGTTGAACAGGCTCATTTTTCTTATTTGGTGCACACTTAAAAGAGAAACCAGTATAGCAGCACAATTCACAATAGCTAAATTGTGGAGCCAACCTAGATGTCCTTCAGTGAACGAATGGATAAAAACAACAACAACAAAAAAAAATGTGGCATTTATTACACAATGGAATATTACTCAGCAATAAAAAAGAATAAGATCATGGTATGTTTCAGGGAAATGGATGGCATTAGAGAAGATTATGCTAAGTGAAGTTAGCCAATCCCCAAAAAACAAATGCCGAATGTCTTCTCTGACATAAGGGGAGTGACTCAAAATGGGGTTGGGAGGGAGAGCAAGGGAGGAAGATTACCTCTAGGTAGGGAATAGGGGTGGGAGGGAAAGGGTAGGAGAAAGGAAATAGCATGGATGGTGGAAGGAGACCCTCAACATTATATAAAATACATGTATAAAAAAATTAAAAATTAAAAAATTGATAAATGCTAAAAATAAATAAATAAATAAAAATAAAAGAGAAACCAGGTGGTTTGATCCTCAGCACATA